AATTTAATTCTCTCTGTGTCTGATTGTCTTTTGTCTCTTTCCATTATGGTTAAACACAACAAAGCAGATGACTCTTCCTGATACACACACACATCATTGGTTTGGGTTTGAAAAAACAGCTGAAATATATATATGAACAGCAAAACATAGACCATCAAGAACGGATTTCAAGCTTTAATGACCTCATGATCGTGTGCTACCAGTATTTCAATGATGAAACAGACTTAAATGATGTGTGTGGCAAACACTCTATTACGATTAAATATGAGGCATTCTTCACATGAATGTCTCACAATACTACTGCAGATATCCTTTGCAGTAGTATTGCAGAAAGGAGAAGTATTGCAACAAACAGTCCTTCAGCTGGCCCTTACTTTGGGTAAGCCTTGGGAAGAAGAAATATAACATTGAACCAGGGTTCTTACCATTGAAGGCTTCCTCATAGGGCTGCGCCTCCTCATAGTAACTCTCTGAGGTGTCTACACAGGCTGGAGAAGGAAGTGCAGGTAAGGGGAATGGCTCCCGACCCACCACACCCTGACAGATGAGAGATGGATGGGGAAAAGAGAAAGGTAAGAAAAGAGAGATGGATGAGGGATATGAAACATTTTTTAGCAACTTCATTTCAGACAGCACTAAATGACAGCCTCCATAGAAGTGTGTTCGATTAATGCCCTGAAGAGGAAAATGTCCAGGTTAATAGCAACACACACTCACGCACATTATCAACATGTGTTCTTCCCCCAGGCTGAACATGTGACTAATCCAGCTGTCACTTTAGGAGTAAGTAGGGAGTTCCTCATGTAACCAATCCTTGTCTGACCCTGTGCACTAGAGAGTTACATGCTCGCCTACAGGGAAGAGTGTATGTGTGTGAGAATGGAAAACAGAGGGAGTGCATGTATTTGAACGTGTGTGTGTGTGTGTGTGTGTGTGTGGGCTCTGTGGCTTTCCTGAAATCAATCAGCAGTCTGGCTTCACTTCTGTCTTTCTTCTCATCTCCTGTGTGGTAAAGACTATCCGTCTCTACCTTACCAAACTTCTGAAAACCACCAGACTCTCTGCTGCTGGGCTGCTTAAATGAGTCCCAATTCATTTAGACTATCTCCATGACTTTTCTACTCAAACTAAACTCAAGTAATCAGCTGCATCGGGCGGCAGCATTTCTTAATCCCAATTGACATGAGGGACATGGCATAATCTACACTATTAAACTAAATGGCAGCAAGTTATCTTTTAGGGTACATCCACACATCTGCTGGAAATTCTGGAGAATTTGAGAAGAAAAGCCACGTCAGATCCAGTATAAAAATGTTTCAAGGATGTAGTCACAGTTATTTATTTGGCAAACATATCTTTGTTATTTGGAATTGTGAAATTGTGCACAATGACCATTCTGTAGTCAATTATAAAACGATGCATGTCTATTCTTTAACCCCCACTTCCGCCCCCCTCTTTCACATTGGATTGTCATCATCAGATGTTTATGTAATGAACGCTCACTTTCTGTGTTGAAACAAAAACTCCCCACCAGTAGGATTCTTTTTCAATGAAAACCCTCTTTATCTCCTCAACCTGTCTGAGTCTCAAATAACACATCTCTTTGGTGGCAGGCAGAAGATGGGAGATATGCAAGTTTGGTCTTGGTACATACTAGTATTAAGATGACGTACTGGCAGTAAAAATGCAGTAGACTAACAGCGAAGATTAAATATATCTAGTCTTCCCAGTATAAAGATAATATCATCATGAAGCAAAGAGACAACGAAGGATTCTTCTGAGGCCAAAGAAAGAAGTAAAATAAATGACACTTGTTTAAGGTACACTTAAACCTCTTAGAGATTATTATGTAAATGTAGCCAAACATATAGGACATGAGGACACAGCAAAAGTCTGATGTTGCTGGATATATTTTTAAGTTTTTTTTTTCCTCAAGTGAACTCTGTGAAACCCTTTTTGAATGACAAAAAGTGATTTCTTAGCTATGTCTAATGTTTCCTCCCACGACTGATCTGAACATGCTGTCTGTAGTCCTTCATTTTCACTTTATTCCCCCCCGAAGGCTGTCACAATCGCTGCAAGATCACAGGAATATGAAATATAACCCCTAAGCAGACGAGCTGCACATATCATGCAAACCATGCCTGAGGTAGACTGGCTCTGTGGAAAAGTATGAGCCTTTACAATTTGAAAATCTCAAAGGATCACATAAGATCAGAGTTTGTTAAATTAAGTGGTGGAGATCAGTTGGTCAAAACGGCTTCATTCCCTTTCAATGTGGCCGTGATTGCAGCAAAAGCTATTCCCTTCTTGTCATATTAGTGAAATCAGCTTTGGGAGTTTGATAATGTTTGCTGTGTAGCAATGACCAAAATTAACACAACTAAGAAGAAAAGAGGCAGTAAAACAGTATGTTTTGTTTGGTGGTTACAAGCCTGCGGTAGGTCTTCAGATACCATATAGCGGTGATAGAGTTACTGGTTCATCATAGATTTACAGACCAACAAAATACAGAAAAACAAATATTTGTCTGCTTGTATAAAAATCACAAACTCATATTTTCTGATGTGGGCTGTTAATGACAGTCAGATCCCACAAAAATAAGGGAATCCCCTGCTTGTAAGCTCTTTTCCCACTATATCTCATCAGCGAGTGAGCACATTTCCAGTAATGCAGATAGCAGTAAGCTGTCATAACAACTGGCGCCATGTCACGGGCCACATATAGTCATAGTGACGAAGACGCTGTTTGTGTGATTAACCTACGTACCAGAAAGCGGAGTAAAGGATCCACACAAAAAAAATGTGTGGGACAGAGATGTTATCACTGCTGTTTAAGGAGGGTTGCATCAGTTAAACATCATGGAGCTGCTGAAGATTATCATAATGCAAGTATCAGCAAATACAAATGTCAGAATGTCGTGAGTTACATTCATTTCTCTTTAAAATGATGCAATGCCAAGCAAAACATTTTTAAAACGTAACATGACCAATATAAAATGAGAGAAAGAGAGTAAGAAGAGACTTGTCAAACACAGATGTCACTATTAACATTAATAATGGCTGCATTCCATTTAGTTATGCCAGTGCCAAAGCCTTACGTCTGCCACGAGAAAGGTCTAGACTTTAGAATTTGTTTTGGCTCTACCTGCTATATTTACATACAAGCATTTCAGCTAAAATGTAAACAACTCTCATCACCATTAGCTGTTGTGATACACACATACAAACCCTTTTAGCACCACAAAACAAAAAAGTCACGTACACAACATAAATACTGTTAATGAGTTAACAGTACACTTAATTGGCTTTTCAGTGGCTGACCTGGTCTAAGCCTTGATAGAGAACAACGTGGACGTTGCCACGAATCACAGAGGAATCGAGTGGAATTAGGCGTGTTTCACAATGATGGAAATAAACAAGCCTTTGGATCTTGAGATCCAACAACAATGTGTCACTGACATTAACATAATACTTGTAATATTTTTTTGTTTAGAGTGGGGTTTTTTTTGATGATAAATGAGTTCATTTAAATGATAAAATATTTATGATAGGTCACTCTAAATCACAGTAAATAGGGAATAGGGAACATAATATTTGCAATACAGTATGTTATGTCATTTTTTGTGTTTGATAGACTTAATCAATTTGAATGACCATAAAAGAGTTTTTTTTAAACTATATGACTTCAGAAGTAGGAGGGACAGCTACAAAAGCTGTAGAGCTGACAGGAAAAGTGATTCTTCTGTGAAAAAGACTGTAAAGTATAGTGCACGCGCACACACAACAGCACTAACAGTGAAAACAGCACTTCAGGCATCTGTTATTAATTAAACAAAGAGTCAGGCATTCCAGAGCAGCAGCAGCAGCCCCCCAGAATGCCCACCCACCCTTATCCCTATCTTCTTTCTTTTGCTCTCTCTATTTCACTCATCTCTAAAAAACAACAACTAAATCTGCCTGTTGTTTGGACCAAGGCTAAAGAGGAGGATAGTGAGCCATTCCACAGCTGGACTGATATTAAACAGGGAAGGGAACATGCCAGGTGTGTTTCTGTGTCTTTTTTTCTCCCAGAAGACTTTGCAATCACTCTCATGCCTTCCTTTCACTTCTCACACACACACACACACACACACACATACTCGTCCTCACCACAGAAACACCGGGTAGAAGGAATGGCTCGAGGAGTCAGAGCATAAATAACAAAGCAAGGAGAGGGGTGGCAGAGGAGGAATCGGGGTGTGGTGGAGGGGCTTTGAGCAAAGAGTGGGAAAACGAGCCCAAAAAAATGAACAGTGAGAGGAACATGGAAAATCCCTGGTTCCCATGCCAAGAATCCGGCACAGCGAAAACACACACAAGAGTGTATCTGAGGGCCTGCTGGGAGCTCAGAGCAGAGGAGAAGGTAGCGATAAAAATAATCAGTGTAGCTCAGCTTTGGAACGCCAGATTCAGGAAAACTCTCTGGGCCTTTGCTGTCTCTTGTAGCATAGTATCTTTTTTGTTAGAAACACTTATGTAAAATGAAAACAATTTAAATTATTTTTGAAGCATGAATAAAAATGGGGGAAAAAAATTCACATAACAGATTTTGAACATTACTGTATTTATTTTTCTATTTTGTCTTCTTGGGAACACTTTAACCTCCTCCAAATCTTTCATACTTTTGGTCCCTCCCCGCCCCCCCCATTTCAATGTTAACCGTCAAATGTACAACTGCAATATATATATATTGACAAAATACAAATATAAAAGTAAAACTGTCATGTAAAAAAAAACCTGGATTTAAAGGGGAAATGCTGGCAGAAAACGTAATCCTGAATAATTCAGCAAATACTTATGCTAGCCAATTACAATGCGGCTATGATAATCACCAGTTGCCGACAGCCACATTGTGCATGTCAACAGTTTTCCCTTCCCTGCTTGACGCTTGCGAGTGGCACAGCTGCTATCTATAGTACAACTCTATTTTCAGATCATGCAGACAGGACGCAATGGAACTCTCACAAACCTTTATTTACTGTCCAGTTCTGGGGAAAAATGGCTATTCTACACTCGAGTCACACACTTTATTGTCCCTTGAGAGCCTGTTTTAGGAAGAGAGAAGATCCAGGGTTTAAGAGATCATGGAAGTGCCTGAAGGCCTGGGAGTCAAGCAGGATATTCGTGCAGAGAATGCGACCCTTGATCTGGAGCACAGAGAGCACCAGGCGGGCTGGGTGAGAGTGAGGGTGGAGGGGAGCTGGTTCACGGTGGAGCGGGCCTTGCTAGAGAGGCACAGCAACTACTTCTGTGCTCTTTTTCACTCTGGGATGATCGAAAGTCACCAGGACGATCTCTACCTGAAGGGAGGAGTGAGTGCAAGGGGGTTCCTCATTGCCCTTGCAGTCTGCAGGGGAGAGGGTCCCACCATCAGTGACCCGGATGAGCTTGTAGAAGCTGTGGAGTGTGCGGCTTTCCTGCAGGTTGCGTGTTTGGTGCAGCATCTTTGTGACATTATCGACTCCGACAACTGCCTCTTGCTCTACCACGCAGCCTCCATCTTTGGGGTGCGTGCCCTCTTTCACAATGCTGCTCTTTTCCTTTGTGATGCTTTTGATGATTTGAAGGAAGCCGCAGAGAGTACAATTCCTGAAGACCTTCTTCAATATTCTCAATCATTGTCTCCCACTTCTTATATTGCTATAGGCACACACTCTCCTTCAATGGAACTGCTACAAGACTCCTTTAGGGTTGTCTGCTACCTTGATGAAAAAGGAGGAGAGTGGAAGCATCTGACAAACCTCCCAACTCTCTGTAGCACCTCCATGGCTGGTGTGGCGGTGCTTGACAACCGATTGTACATTGTGGGGGGAGTTTACGGTTATGGTAAGGACACAGTTGACAGCAGCTTCTGCTACAACCCTGAGTCAGGGGTCTGGACTGCTCTTCCAGGTCCCCAGCAACCAAGATATGACTTCACCCTGCTGGGGCATGACGGCCAACTCTACGCTATTGGCGGCGAATTCCAAAAAAGGATAATTTCCACAGCAGAAAGTTACGACACTGAGAAGGGAGTGTGGACATTTATACGAAATGCACCAAGACCTGTAGCATCTGCAGCTTGTGCTGTTGCAAGACGGCGGATTTTTGTTTGTTTCTGGAAACCACCGGACACCACAGATATCTTTGAATACATACCTGGGCAAGACGAGTGGAAACTTGAAACCACCATGATCAAACCACAAAGCTATGGCCACTGTATGGTTTCCCACAGGGACAATTTGTATGTGATGCGCAACGGGCCTTGTGACGACTTCCTGCGCTGTCTCATGGACTGCTACAACATCACCACAGGCCAGTGGACAGCCTTGCCGGGACACTACATAAACAGCAAGGGGGCGCTGTTCACTGCAATGATAAGGGGCGACTCTGTGTTCACAGTGAAACACATGCTAACTCTTGAATACACCATCACTGGAAATGGATGGAAGCCCTGCAGGCAGATGAAGGGGTTTCCAAAGAGTGGTTCACTGTGGACGTGTTTACTCAGGCTTCCCAAGACGGGGCCAGTCACACCACAGCTGGATACAGAAGGGAAGGAAGACGAAATGTCTTTGCCAGACACATCTGAGGGATTTGTGGATGCTATACCACAACAGTGAAATTGCTGCTAAACTTTTAGGTATTCTAAACTGGAATATCCATTTTAAAAAAACATGATTCTGGAGATTGCATAGTGAGACAAATCATCCTTCATTTAAATGCATTCACTTTCACATGCACCCAGATTTCTACACACACACACACACACACACACACATGCACACGTGCTGACACAAAGCATTTGTTCTGATTAGCAACAGCTGCTACTGTAGTTTATATTAGGGAGGCCACTGTGCGTGTGTGTGTGCGTGTAAAGTTCAAAGGCACTGACGGGATGTTCTCAACCTCTCATTCTCTACGTTTTCCCTGAAGTCACACTGGGCCAATTCAGGAGCCACTGGCCTTCCAGTCAACATAAAACACACCGAAGCTCTCTCACACACTCTCGGATACTCACTTCCCCAGGTTTTGTTGCCCCATGAGTGATTAAATATCTGTTTGTGTGGGAGAATATATTTCATAGCCTCAGGCTAGTGACTCTGAGGGTTGTGATGTGATGTTTTTGGCTTGTATGACCACAGCCTGCATTTGTTTTAGTTTATTAAAAATCAATGCAATTATCTGGCAACATGTGATTTCAATCTATAGTGTTTTATTTTTAACGATTGCTTAGTGGTAGTAATGTTGTGACTGTAACAAAAGAGAAAAAATACAGTCAATTACATTTGAAGTCGGCATTGGTTTTTTGGGCTGCTGTTGCATACCGTTGAATTTCATGATTTTCACTGAACTTTCCCATGTACTTTATTGAGTTCAGCAGTTCTACTGGGGTCAATTATGCTATTACCATTCCCATCACAGTGACAGAGGCTAAAAGGGCTGTGTGTGTGTGTGTTAAGTCAAATCATTTTACATGTTAATCCACCCTAATAGAATCGAGCTGGTAATCACTTACTGTTCTGGGGGGCGGCAGGTCAGGTAGGCTCTTCTGAGGGACGGGGATATATTTTGCAGCTTTTCCGTTGACCATGTCATCTGATCTGTCATCTAGGTCATGAAAAAGAGTGTGAGGTAAGTGAATAACAGAAATCTTAACTCTTGCATTTACATTAACTGTGGATAAAGGAAACAGGAATTGGGGATAAATGAAAGAAGTGGCTCATCATGTGAAAATGTAATACTATTCTTAGATGTCTCCTATACATATCAGCGCTTCCTTTTATCCCTAACCCTCTCGCTGGGAGCACAGACCCTTTATTGTTACATTACAGTGACCACATAACCCAAATCAAGGGGAAGAATCCCGTTTCTTCTCATCTCTGTTGAGAGTTGCACATGCGTGGTACCGATCAGGCAGGATGTAGGAACATAGTCAAAATAGTCAACAACATCAAAAAACAATTAAAAAAAAAAACACTTTTCCTTGACCTCGATGGGAATGTCATGAGGTCAAGGATAGACATGATGGAGAATAGCTATAAAAGACAGCCCCAGTGCTAAGAGAATCTGACTGCACTTCCAATAGGCTTTCTTTTTTTTTTTCATTTCAACTTCATTTATAACACACGCAATAAAGAGTACAGACTTATCTTGGTTAATGTCAAGTTCTCATAACAAAGACATCACAAACAAAGTCAGCTTTGCATTAAAAATGACTGAATAAACATGAATCAACTCCTTCATGTTCATGACAGGTGTCATGTCACGATAACCATGGTGTCAGGACAGGATCAAGAAAATAGGAGAATATATTGCATGACAAATTGAAGAATTATGTTTTTCAGAGGATTTGCCCTTTTATTAACAATGGCCAGTGCTTAATTCCCATTAGTTTCTGGCTTGTGACCTCCTTACAGAAGCTGTTTGACATTTAGTGGAAATAATAAAAAATAATTGTTCACTTTCATGCCAAGAGTTAGATGAGCAGATCGATACCATTCTCACGTCTATCCGTTTCAGGCCATGTAGCTGTAACATGTTAATTGTTGAGCTTTAGAGGTGCTGGTAAGCAGATTTTGTTAAGGGTAAGTTTCTGTCTCAAACTTGAACAGAACGCAGAAAGCATTTTATAGGGAAAAGAAAAAGGCTTCAACATGTGCACCTCATAACTTTATTGCTCAGGACAGTGAGCACAACTTCAGTTTAAGTATGTTTTCTGCAGGTCATAGCATTTGTGCATCATAATCAGTTGGGAGCAAGCTGAACTGAATTACAGTAAAAGCAATCTATCAGTATTCTCACATACTGTGCACGTATTTTTGGATTAACAATGTTTTACTGCAACATCTTTCTCTTGCACATTTACTGAAAGGGACAGTTCAAGTTGACCACATGATCAAAGATTAAGAACACTCAGTTCTCACATCTCAGCCCCTGCATTATTCTCTGCAAAAATAAGAGTTGTGGCTTTTCTAGCATCGCTGCTGAAAATATGTGTGTTGCTCAAAGAAACCACATTCTTCAACTCTGTCCAAACAAAACAGGTCAGTCTCATATGGTGAGGAGCTACGTAGAAACAGACAGGAAATGGGGGCGAGAGGAGGGAAGCTGAGGGGGGAGGGGGCTGCTTGTGGAAGTTTATTCTCATGTCTGCTATTCACTTGAATCATGTCAGATTGAGTCTGAGGTGCAATCACATGACAAGTATGCAGAAGGGTGTTTTTTTCCCCCAAGTGTAGAGGTTGCATATAATTTCACAACAAACATCCCTTTACACAGATATTGTATTTTAAAGCTCATGCCAGCTAAATGTGAAGTGGTGAGATTAGTTATTAACTGGATTAATGCAGTACGTTATAGAATTAATATAAAGAGTTTCAAATGTACTTACCTATTTTAAGTATCATATACTTAGATATCATTTGAAATAGCTTTGCTAGAATAGTATCTGAATATTTATATGTTTGTGTTGAATTCTGTTTATGAACTATGAGGCCTGATTAGGAAATCCCTAAACTAGGCCTTCACCTACATTTTAAAATTGGTTCATTAAAATGTAATGCTAACCAGATGGATTAATGTCTACTAACAACACTAAGAGTCTTGCTGTACTACTCAGGCACAGTGGTGCTTAGAGCTAAATACTAACATCAGCATGCTATAATAGCATGCCCACACTGACATTGCCAACATTCTGAAATTTAGCAGGTATAATGTTATTTTGTTATTACCGTATTCACCATCTTAGTTTAGCACGTTAGCATGCTAACAATTGCTAATAAGCACCAAACACAAGGTATAGCTGAGGTTGATAGCATTCGTTTTGCAGGTACTACAACACTGGACAAATTACAAGTTTGTTCATGTGGCCAAAGTGGTGGACCAACCAACACTGCCATCCACAGAGCTATGTAAGTAGCATTGCTAAAAATTATATATAGTTTCACTATCCCTCATTTTCAATAGATAGAATAAAACCTTTTCTTTAATTTCTGCTACTTTTCAGTATCACACTTTAGAGAGGAACTTTTTTTCACACCTTTGTTGTCGTTGTCCTTCCCAGGAACAATGACTTTGTTCATGTATATATACTCCTCGTCAGCACCTGCATGGAGACATCAAAAGGTGGTCAACAGTTGACATCAGCGTACTTTAGCACAGACAGTGTTACTTTGTGGGTGGTTACCACAAACACAAACACCATCTTAAACTGAAGAAACTAGATGAAGCCATAATACCACTAGACAAAACACTAGAGAAGTGATACATGCATGTTACTTTTGATAATAGTAATAAAAGGAGGAAGGTTGTCCATATCACTACACCTCTTTAGCCCAGGCACAGTTATTTATACCATGCTATTATATTGGTTCTCAAATCTAGGAATCATTATAATTTTTTGGTCAAACTCAACAAACAGTATGTAATTTGTGCCTGTCAGGAACACAAAAGAATTGCTGTCTCAGATTCATTAGTTTGACTTTAAGTGTTCTCTGACTGAAAATAAGGATTTTATTTTGAAAAGTTTTGCACCTCGACTATACTATACATTCAGGCTAGTGCACGCACGCTCCTATATTCTGCCAGAGACACATTTCTTGCCATAGAATGACTGGTCAAGAATATTTTGGATATAACCAAATACTTAAATAAAGTAAAGTCAAAATTTTATGTAAATTCTATTGAAATAAATCTCCAATTGAATGTGACTGGTCAAAAATCTGACATTTGACTTTAATTTCCTAAAGGTGTGTTGCACTATTAGTGACTAGCTTTGAGACTGACTTCTCCACGCATCCAATCACAACAAGAGCGTGCTTATTTTGCCACATAGTTTACTTGTATCACCGATGGGAAAATCTGACTCCTCCTCCTCAGTGCCAAACACACTTTCATCATATTTATCAAAAGTCCAGGATTAAAGGGGAACTTGACCTGAACAAGTGGCCTATTATGCAGACAGATGGGCCCATTATTGACACCCACCCTCACCGTGGCTTGCATTCATCAGACATTAGTCAGAAAACCCCTTGCCTGCACAGATAAAGCACTGTGTCACTCCTATCTTGGAAGTTTTTAAGATCGTACAACTAAATATACAATGGAGCTCATGAGCTTTGTCCATCTGCTAAGACCAGTCTAAACGTCCAGAGAGTTTACATTATAACCAAAACTATGACTTTATACTTCCATTCAATATGGATTGAGACACAAACAAAAATTAGGAGTTAAAGCAACTGTTTCTTTAAATCAAATCAGTTTTTAGTTCTATAGGCATAAAAATTTGAAAGCCAGAAAGATTTATTTAATTAAAGTAAAAATAATATAATTGTAGTCATAGTTGTGGTTTCCCAGGAAAACAATAAAAGCCCAGTGATTAGGAATTTAAGTGCTTTATTAGGGCTGTCATTATAGACTGAACTTGACTTCTCATTGCACTCAAATGTAAATATTTATGGGTCAGTATGAGCAATGGTATCATTTAGGCAATAAGCAGAGATGATGAAACCTCATGTCATACACCAATGCTGAAGTCAGCTCGGTGAGAAAAGGACTGTGTTTGGTTTAATGTTGGTCTTAACGCGGTGGAGTAATTACAAGCTGGCAAAGACTGCCACATAAACAGTTTGAATGAATGTCTTTTCTCAAACAATAAACCCTGTGGCTTTTGCATAGCAGGCACCAGCTGGTTACTGTAACCTGTTATGGGAATTTGTTCCGGGGCTGCTGTGCAGTTTTGAAGAAGGTTGTTTCATTGAATTAAATGTTTTAGCTGACTAAGATTATACCCTGAGAGGAAATCCAACAAAACTCTAACCTTGGGTGATACTTTGGAGAAGGTTTCTCCTTTGAAATAGATATCGCGAGGTGAAAACAAACAACAGCAGAATGAAACGATGTTTTGCCTGTACAGTGAAAACAGATTTTTGGGGAACAG